AATATTTCCCAAATGATGTTTAACAGAGCAATGACATTTTTACAGTGTGTCTGATAATATTTTTTCTTCTGAAGAAAGTCTTATTTGTTTTATTTCGGCTAGAATAAAAGTAGTTATTAATTTTTTTAAAAACATTTTTGGGACAAAATTATTAGCCCCTTTAAGCTAATTCTTTTTTGGATAGTCTACAGAACAAACCATCATCATACAATAATTTGACTAATTACCCTAACCTGCCTAGTGCACCTTATTACCCTAGTTAAGCTTTTAAATGTCACTTTAAGCTGTATAGAAGTGTCTTGAAAAATTTCAAGTAAAATATTATTTACTGTCATCATGACAAAGACAAAATACATCTGTTATTAGAAATAAGTTTTTAAAACTATTATGCTTAGAAATGTGCTGAAACAATCTTCCCTCCATTAAACAGAAATTGGGGAAAAAAAATAAACAGGGGCGCTAATAATACAGGGGGCTAATAATTCTGACTTCAACTGTATATATATATATATATATATATATATATATATATATAGAGAGAGAGAGAGAGAGAGAGAGAGAGAGAGTATATTGACCTTACACTTACTCTGCACACACACAATACATACACATGCAAGCAAAAGTACATGTATTACCATAAATACTGTATACTGTTCTTTTTTATTAGAACAAAAATTTTAATTAAAAGAACATAAAGTTAGTAAGGTTTTCTAAATATGTCTGGCTTTAAATATTTTTTATACTAGTGCCTTTACTTTTAATTATGTTTTTGTTTCAGTAATTAAATTTTTTAAATTGTCAATCGGTTCACATAGTTTACTTTAGCTTGATTTCAGCTATTGAAACAGTTTTATAATATAATATCATGTAATGTAATATCATAAAATGCTTAAAGTTGATAGAGAAACCGAAGTTAGGTTATTTATTTTTGTTTTTGCTTGATTTTAGCTATTAAAAACATTTTAATATAATAATCATAAATATTTTATAATAATTTTATTTTTAAAATTGTCAATCGGTTCACATATTTTATTTTAGCTTGATTTCAGCGATTGAAAACATTTTTATAATATACTATAATGTACAGGGTGGGCCATTTATTTGGATACACCTTAATAAACTTATTGGGAATTTCACAAAAAAAATAATAATATATGTGTGCTTGGTTTTAAATTTAACTTTATTCTTTCATGAGTTATTTACAAGCCCCCTCACATATACTAATGTGCCACAAACAGGTTGTTAATATCAAATACCATTCCCATTTTATTAAGGTGTATCCATATAAATGGCCCACCCTGTTATATAATATATAATATAATATAATATAATATAATATAATATAATATAATATAATATAATATAATATAATATAATATAATATAATATAATATAATATAATATAATATAATATAATATAATACAATATAATACATCACGCTTAAAGCTGATAGAGAACCCAAAGTTGGGTTCTTTAAGGCAACATAAAGCATGGAACTGTATATTTGTTTTTCTTTTTTAAGTTTGTTTGTTCAATCACAGGACCAACTATGACATTCTCAACACTTCATTTCACACACATTTAAAAGCATTTAGCGAAACCACAGTGATCTGCTAATCTGATTAACTCGGTGGCTTTTAAGAGCGTCTCCTTTGCTTTCCTTTCCCCTCTTCTTCCAATCCTGTCTCCCATTAGAAGAGAATATAGAGCAGGAACTGAGAATGCACCTGTGTGTGTTTTTCCGAGTGCCATTAAGTTTTAATTAGTCTGTTTCTGTGTGTACAGCAGTGCATGCAAAGAGTATTAAGCAAATTTATGATGCGGTGAAGGACGCTGGGAGATGTATGTTGGCGTGAAGGGAGACAGTGAAAGAAAAAAACTTGGATCAGCACAATTCATTTCCCCCAATTTCCAGCATGTACAATATTAAAGCCATTAAGGGCTGCTTCTGTCAGCGCATTCTCAGCAACACATTAGTTAAGAGTTAAGAGAGAGAGAGAGAGAACAGACCCGAGATGCTCCTCTCCATCAAACACAACACACATGCTTGTCACTGCGGTAACAAATGGCAAAGCTTTGCATGCAAAAGTGCATCTCAGGATGTTCCCTCCTGCTCGGCGGGTCTGATTTTCCCATTATTGGGAGCATTTTTGCAGATGGGCTGCTCTGTCTTCAGAGGCTCTGCTTTAAAGTGAGGTGAGCTTTCAGATGAGACAGGCTGACCCTGGTCTACATATGAGAAAGCACCTGGAGGAGTGCTGGGATGGCAGGTGGAACAGGCTTGTTTACAGAGATTGTGAAGGCAAAAGGCAACCACTCCTGTGGAGGGATAAGTGGTATAGAAAGCACATTTTAATTCAAATTTGACCATATGTGTAGTGACCACACTGATCTTTTGGAGAAATAGCAATAAACCTAGACAATACTTTTTTAGATTTCAATTTGATCATGTAAACTAACCAGCTAACAACACTGTAAAACCCAACAGTCAGGTAATTCTAAGGTAGTTCTACTCATTTGAAAAGAGTTTTGAACTCAGTGTTGAAGGTAATGTGTTAATTAAATACCTCATTACTTCAACTTAAACGGAGTAAGTTCACAGTCGTCATATAGATTAGTTTTTAACTCAAATGGTTTGTAGCAATCGGTGTCCTCAAACGGTTTGAGTTGCCTTTACTTTTTGGGTTTTACAGTGCAGTAACAGTCACTTTGATAAAAATGCACAGTTGAATTTTCATCATCAAAAGTCGACAGAGCAGAGATCAACATCCTCTAATACAACTAACAACCATTAATAAACAGAAAAAAGACTGTAAACATGAAATACGGAACCTGTTAGTTAACGGATATTTTCTACCGTGTTGTACACAGCCTAAAACGCATGATATTTAACCATTTACACTCACTGGATATTGGCATATTTTGTCAGCATCTGTACATGCAGTGCATTGGTGTAATGGTCAATTGAGAGGGTCTTGATGAATAAGGAAATGATACGCAGTAGTGTAGAAGACCAGTCAGACAGCGATTGGGGATGGTCGTTCCTCTGTTTTTAAACATATTCACTTCAGTGTATCTACACTGTGTGCATAATTATTTGGCAAGTTGTATTTTTGAGGATTCATTTTGTTTTTGTACAGTGCTCTTGGGCAATCCAAAATGTTAAGAAACCCTCAAACCTGAACATTTAGGTAGTGAAAGTGAAGTTTTTTTCTTTCTTAAGAGATTGTACACGTATACTATTATTAGGCAACTATTATTGTGCAGAATTGCAAGATGCTGGCAAAATATGTGCATGCCCATTGAGCATCAATAGTTATGTATCATGCGTTTTATAATGTGGATGGAGATACAAACGCTAGTCTGGATGAGGAATGTTTCGTTCTAAACACCAATTTAAAACAAAGACCCACTAGTGTAAACCTTATACAGTGCTCAGCATATACTGTATGAGTAAACCCATGACAAATCTCTCTCTTTTTTTCTTTTTTATACTTTTATTTTAAAGTTTTTTAAGTACAGCAAAAAAACAACAAACAAACAATATTGTGTCAGAATATACACACTTTGCTGGTAAATATATGAATTGCCATACATGTGGGTTCAGCTGTTGGGGATACAAAATGTAGTGTTACACAGTATGGAGGCATCAAAACGTCCTAAAAGGTAGTGTGCCAGTCAGTTTTCATGAAGGGTGCTGGATTTGGATAGAGCACGTTTCAGGTGTAAGTATCCAAGAAAGGGTTCCCAGGTAGCAAAGATATTTTCGTTGGAATTAGACCTGATAAATCTGAGCCTTTCCTAGCGGATAACAGATCCATTAACCAGGTTCGAAAAGAAGGAGGTAAAGGAGATTTCCAGTTTTTTAGTATTAGCCACTTGGCCACAGTCATGCCTAGAGTAAGGGCTTGTTGTAGATGTTTCGGAAGGGTGAGGGAGTGTTCTGAAATACCAAAAATAGCAAGCTCAACAAATATCTCTTTTAATTTAATATTTTATTTAAAATGCTATACAATATCACTGCAAAAATTGCTTTTCTTGCTTAGATTTTTAGTCTTGTTTCTAGTCCAAATATCTACAAATTCTTAAATCAAGAAGCATTTTCTAGACAAGCAAAACATATTGTCTTGTTTTAAGAAATAATATGCCAAAATGAATTGAGTTTTTCCTCAAATCAAGCAAAATAATCTGCCAGTGGGGTAAGCAAAATAATCTTGTCTTTCGATTTGTGATAAGGTTATTTTGCTCACCACATTGGCAGATTATTTAGCTTGATTTAAGGAAAAACTCACTTCATTTTGGCATATTATTTCTTAAAACAAGACAATATGTTTTGCGTGTCTAGAAAATGCTTCTTGATTTAAGAACTTTTAGATATTTGGACTAGAAACAAGACAAAAAATTGAAGTAAGAAAAGCATTTTTTATTTTTTTTTGCAGTGATATTTGTGTATATACGTTAGCCAAATCTGGAGCTAATCTGACAAAATAACTTTCGATGACAGTCCAAAAACTAGTATACAAAAATTTATATGTTTAAGAAAAAATATTAAATTAAATATTAAAGAGGGGGGGGGTGATAAAAAATATATAATATTTAATTTTTGCAATGTTTTACTTGAAATTAAATGTTTTATCTTTCTATTTCTAAATATATTCGGTGACTAAAATATTATTTTAATTATTATACATGTTTAATAAATCTGTTTTGATCAAATGCACCAAAATACATTGCCTATATTCACTGAGAAATGGATAAAAATATGTTTTTTCAAAATGGGGTCTACTCATTTAAGCTGAGCACTCCGTTTAAAATTTGTTAACCATGGTTCCAATTTTTATCAATATATATTAAACATAGTTTATGGAAAAATAATGTGCGGTTGGATCCTAGAAGAATGTTCAGCGACCAGCTTGTTCCACACAAACTCCATCACACAACTCTCCAAAATAACACAACTCCCTTTTATTCTCTCTCTCTCTGTTGTCTCTCTCTGCAGGCAGTACTATGAGATGCTGTATAACACCGCCGACGAGCTGCTGAACCTGGTGGTTGATCAAGGGGTGCGTTACACAGAGCTGGAGTACATCAATGCTCTGAGTCTCCTCCACCGCAGCCAGACAGGTGTAGGAGATCTGACCGTGCAGAACATGCGGCTGCAGCGCCTCAAAGAGATCATATGCGAACAGGCTGCCATTAAACAGGCTACCAAGGATAAGAAGATCACTACCGTATAGACCGGCACGTCTAGGGGTCTGCTTTACTGCCGGTCGTTACTGTCACAGCTTTGAGTCAAGTCATACTACAAGCAAACCGTTTCATATTGGCTTTATTTCATCTTTATATATACACACACACACACACACACACACACACACACACACACACACACACACACACACACATAAACATATAGAAGGCAGTCAATCCCTTTTTTTCAAGCATTTTGCAGAGTGCATTTTCGTCTAATTTTCTTACTTTATCAAACCGCTGCTCTCAATTATAGAATCGTTCCTGTCTGGCCCCAAGCCTCTGCCTGGAATAGCAGATGCCAGATTACAACGGCAGGCAGTTTTATCAGGCAAAATAGAAACAACTCACCCGTCGCTTGTTGATTTGTTCTGCCGTTCAAGAGCGGGAATCGGATTTGCTAAACGCATTTAGCATTTCTTAAATTTCTCCCTATCTGTTGCAGGTATAAAGTCCACATTTATTAGTTTCTCCTTGTCGATTCAGATGCTGTAATGATATCAGAAGTGGATTTGTGGATTCCCCAAGTGCTTAAACAGGTAAAAAATGGGGGATTTTTAGAAGTTAAAGGTTAAATGCCGACTAATGTTGACCAGATTTAAAACCTCACACATGCTGTGACCTGATGAGCAAAGATTTAGCATGTTTAATTGGCACAGAATCACCAACATCGTTCCAGCAAAACCAATGTTGCAGTGTGAATTGGCTTTAAAGTGTTAGTTCAAACTCAAATGAAAATTATCATCGTTTACACACCATTGTGTCGCTCCATATGCATAAACCAAATGACAGTAATTTAAATCTGAGAGATTTCAATCCCTTCATGAAAACGTTTTTCATTCATTCACTCCAGAATATGTCAACAATAAATACACACAAATTAAGGGACTTTAAATCTCCTGAAGAGGCATAATACATTTTGTAGAATGAATATATGAAGAGTTCAGATGCAAAAGCCTCTAAGTACCATCTGAAATTTTCTACTAAAATTGTATTTTTTTCAGGATCCTGTGTTTATTTACTTTTAAAATGATGAATATTTTATTTTCATTGCCTTTAAAGTGAAATAACTGACCATAAACATGAGAGGCTGAGTAAAATGCAAGTTTTAGAACAAAATTTGCGACGACACTGAGAGGCTTTTGCATCTAAACTCTTCATATGAAGATTGATGAACAAACTCAATCGAGTTTGCTTCTTGTGTGTGAACAAGCCTCCTTGGTTGTTGCAGAATTTTAGACATGCCATGCGGCATGCAAGAATGAACCCCATTGGTTTTCAGGTATCAAGCAAGCATGTTTAAGCGTCTACATCCAAATACGGATGCTGTAAACATTCTAAAAGTTTAAATGGGAATAAAATCCTTCATTAAATATTATAAAACCATCTTGTATTTCAGATGACGTGGACCAAACCACTTATTATACGAGTTTCTGTTCAACAGACTATTAGTAGGTGAACAGTAATCGGTCAGAATTTGCTAAAAACTATTTCTATTTATTTGAAAAACGGATGTTTCTTGAGGGTTTGGATCAGCTTAACCTATTCATGTTGATGTACTCGAATATCAGTCTTACTCAAAAATTCACAGCCACTTGTTCCTACAGCCTGTAGAAGCCCCAGATCACTCATACTCTGTGTTTTGGGCTATTTTTAGTCCATTAATTATGAAGAATAGATTGAGAGAGAAAGGCATCGATACAGAACACAGGCGTTAAGCAGGAAGCCACCCGAGCAATCCATCAAAATGACTCAAACACTTGAATCAATAATTGCCACCAGGTTGCCAAGGAGAGAAACACAGCAGCATTTTTAATATATATAGATTGTTACCACATTACGCTTAGGTGTGAATGCTGAAGATGTTTAAGAGGAATGGTTAGACTTCAGAAATGTCATGTCTGCCTTATTTTATTAAGCCAGTGATGTGTTTAGTAAGAGAGGAGTCGTAATAAACTATTACACATAAGTGTGTGGACTGGTGTGTTGTTTAAATGAAGTGACTGACTCAAGTTCTTCTGTTAGCATTAAACCCTATATTCAAACTCAGCTGCAATGTTCATTTAGATGACCTGAAACAGGCTTGGATGCCGTTTGCACAATATTTTGTTAAAGCAACACTATTTCATGCATTTGTTTTTGTGGATTTGTTTTAGTAATGTGTTTTGTGCATACGTTTAATAACATAAGATGTTCACTAAAGGGATGTACATTATTGTAAATTTAAATTTAGTGCTTAAAAGTCTCTCAACTCATTGATTAAAGCCTCGGAATCCTCTTGCAGCCCTGATTATATAAAATGGATTTTGTCAATGTTAATGTCAAAATAAAAATAAACAAATAATAACCAGAATACAGTATATGTCTTGTTTGATCATAAACCATGTACACTACTTTAGCACGTTTTGTTTTAACCAGTGTTTATAGTCTAAATGTAATTTGTTAAAAAATGAAAACGCTGGATTTATGTCACTGATTTGCAATATATATTTACATTTAATTTAGACGTTTATTTTGTTTTTATAATTTTCTTTATTGCAGTTCAATATGCCACTGATACTAAAGCAAGAACATATATTAAAATACCTGTATCTAGTAAAAGAATGTTAATAAAACCAATTTGACATACTTTTAAAAAAATGTGTATGTTGTATATTATAAAAGAATGGATACTACAATACTGTAAGTATATGGATATAACACAAATTTGCATTATATTATTAAATTTAAGAGGTCATTATTCATAGATCAATGTGAAGTGTGCTGTATTCATTGCTATTAAAATGAACACTACACAAGCCTTCTTTGTGTGCATAAATACATATACTGCACTAAAATATATTTGTGTGTTGTTTTATTTGTATATTATTTTAATATATATGTATAAATACAATGCAAAAATTAGCATAACATTAGTGAATATAGCCTACTTTTAATTATGTTTATCGTTTAAAAATTTTAATAAGATAATGAACATGTTCCCAGAGATGGGTTGCGACTGGAAGGGTAAAAACGCATTGGATAAGTTGGCGGTTCATTCCGCTGGGGCGAGGGAATAAAGCAACTAAGCCGAAAATGAAATGAATGAATATTATACATGTATAACCTAATAATAAATACAGCTCTAATGGAGACGTATTTTTTTACGTTTCAGAAGACCTCAAGTCTTATTTAGTGAGCAGTTTTTATTTTAATAGTATGAACTAATATTGTGTATAGTTATTATACCATATATGCTGTTATAGAGTGTTGAAATCTTGCGCATGTGCAGGTACTTAAGTTTACTTACGGTTGCCAGGCAACCGGTGCGCTTGTAGAGTGGGTGCTTACAGGTTCGGCCACAGAGCTTAGAATCATTCTATGCTCTTTGGTTTAGCTTTTCTTGCGTCTACTATTAATAAAATGAAGTTGCTTTCACAATAATGATGTCAAATAATCCATCTTGGGTGTTTGTGTGAGCATGTCGGATTTCTCCGTTTGCTCTGTAACAAGCGCTTTTCTCTAGAGACAGGAGACCATAGAGACAACAGACAACCAAAACGCACAACAATGGAGGTAACATATTGTTTACTCGTTTATTACAGCTTTCTCTGACGTCACTTTGTGATCAGTATTGTGATTTTCATGATTTATTTATTTAAACGCCTAAAAACGGAGATTGCTGGCGAGTTAACGGAGGATGAGGTGTTTAAATGTCTGTCCGGTCTGGGTCAGTCAGCGACAGGACTCCAGCACACCTACCTGTGTCTCTCTGCGCCAGTGAGTCTGCTACACACATGCATGCCTGCTGTCATTCTGTCATTGTGGGATTTACATTAGTATCCTGTTTAGCCTAATAATAACATTCAGATCTAAATATTATAATAATTATACTTGGATCTAATAAAAATATTTACCAAAACTGTGGTCAAACAAATATAAGCCTATACAAAGCCAGTTAATCATTTGTGCTGTTGTTATTCATTCATTTTTTTAGTCCCTTTTAAACGTTTAAATGTGATTCAGTGGGTAAATAAGTATGCAATTAACATGCAGTAAACAACCCATAACATTTTACCACTAACTAAAATAACTAAAATATTTTTGTTTCTAGCTATATATTGTAGATTGACGCACACACACACACACACACGCACACACACACACACACACACACACATATATATATTCTCATACACTTGAGCTGATTGATTTGAAGGATATTTTATTTATTTATTTGTATTTATTATTTTGGAGTTTGGATTACTTTTTTAAAATGCCTGATAATCATATTAGATTATATTCATTTATATTGGCAATTTTGTTTAAATAGTTGTTTTCTTTTTTATGCAATAACCATATAAAGTAATATCTAGCTATTTTGACTGTCATAAATTGGTTAAGATGTGATGTAAGTGTCTTTATTAATCTGTTTTCTATAGGCCGTTTGCTACAATGTAAGTGGTTTTACTGTCATTGTGGGAACATTTGCTCTTCCCACAATCGCACACACACACACACTTACATCACTATGCAGCATTTGATCATTTCCATATCAAATTGTCCTAGGCTAAGGCTTACTCGACTGCACTCCGGGGTAGAATATTAATATATGTTTCTGGAAGCACTGATATTGTTTGGTTGCATGACTTCGCTGGACAGAAACAGAAGTGGCCTTCAAATTAGTTTACATGCTTTTTTCTAATGCGTCATACTCTCCTCTAGTTTCAGGGTTTTACCGGATGACATTTTATTGGCACCTTAACCGAATTTCTGATTGTGTTTGGCCACAGGGGCGAGACTTGAAAAATGTCTCCATTTTATGCAATTACATCTATCTACAAAAGCTCGAGCTTCCCTACAATAAAATCAAAGGTAGGTTTACACCAGCTTGAGGTTTGCTGCAAGAGAACTATACGATGCAATGAAATTTGCTGTCATGTTTCTGGCCCCCTCATATTTGTCTTCTGCTGATGTAGATATTTGCTCTAATATCCTCTTGTTGAAA